TTATGTGTGTCTTCCTGAGCCATGGCAAAGGCAATCACGTTTATGCATATGATGCTAAAATTGAAATTCAGACATTAACTGGCTTGTCAAAGGAGACAAGTGTTGGAGCCTTGTTGGAAAACCCAAGATATTTATCATTCAGGCATGTCGGGGAAACCAGCACGATGTACCGGTCATTCCTTTGGATGTCGTAGATAATCAGACAGACAAGCTGGACGTGACTGAGGTGGATGCAGCCTCTGTTTACACACTGCCTGCTGGAGAAGACTTCCTAATGTGTTACTGTGTTGCAGAAGGGTATTATTCTCACCGGGAAACAATCAGTGGCTCATGGTACATTCAAGATTTGTGTGAGATGTTGGGAAAATATGTCTCCTCCTTAGAGTTCACAGAACTCCTCACACTGGTGAACAGGAAAGTTTCTCAGCGCCGCATGGACTTTTACAAAAACCCAAGCGCGACTGGGAAGAAGCAGGTTCCTTGCTTTGCCTCAATGCTAACTAAAAAGCTGCATTTCTTTCCAAAGTCTAATTAATAGGGACGATCTTATCTTACAGTCTATATTGAAAAATGTCTTTCCCTTTTTATATAAATATCGTTAGGTTAAGCATATGGTCAGTGATTCAAATGTTTTAATGTTTAATGCCCAGCAAAGAACTGCCTTTAAAAAAAAAATAGTTCATGTTGGCCATGGTGAAAGGGTTTGATATGCAGAAACAAAACCCTCAGGAAATTAGATAAATAATTTACAAGCATTTGTAATACTTTTTAGTAAACTGCAGGATTACACAAAAATCTGGCTGATTTAACTAGTATTTTGTCACATTTTTAATGAAAGTTTTTATAAAAGTTGATTGTTTTTAAAGGTTTTTGAAATCTAAGAATTAAATCATCCCTTATAAAATATTTGAAATTCAAAAAAAATTAATAACCTCAGAGTTCTGGCTCATTCCCAATTTTAGATTGATCATTTTTCTTTGATTGATTCCTTTGTACTGTTTGAAATATTCAGCACAGAATTTGCACTTGGTTTATATTTTTATTTTTATCTCCAGTTTTGGCCTTTTTCAACTCTAACTGGTCAGAACTCTTTTGCAGTTTGAGCCTTCTTAAGACAAGCTGTTTTTATCTTTCAATAGGCATGAATCCTAGGACCCAGAATAAGGATTCTCTAGAGGACAGTATTTCTACCTCTCCAGACCCAAGTAAGAGGGGGCAGCTGACTGGGAAAAGGGGTGGACAGGGTGTGTGGGGCGGTCAGAGCATGAGGAAACAAGAGGAAGCCCTGTGGGAACTGAATGGTCCTGAGGTCCACCTATCTCTGGGGTATGGGATGGTGATGTGGTGAGGGAGGACTCTCTGATGGAAAGTGAGGGGGGTGTGACTGAATGACCTGTTTTGGAAGGTGATTCAGGGGTACCTGGGAAAGGTAGCAGATTCCCTATAAGGCCACTGTGCTGGTCCAGAGCTGGTCTTCACCTTTAAATGCCTAATGATATCTCCAGGAAAAAGTTGGAAAGACACAATGGGCTGTTACTGGAATCACTTGCCTGTCTATAGTTGAAAATATCTGGCTGGTTTGCATTCTTTATGATCATCTTTTTTTTTTTTTTTTCTTGAGACAGAGTTTCGCTCTTGTTGCCTAGGCTGGAGTGAAGTGGCGTGATCTCAGCTCATTGCAACCTCCGCCTCCTGGGTTCAAGCGATTCTCCTGCCTCAGCCTCTCGAGTAGCTGGAATTAAACGCCTGACTAGTTTTGTATTTTTAGTAGAGATGGGGTTTTTCCATGTTGGTCAGGCTTGTCTCGAACTCCCAACCTCAGGTGATCTGTCCACTTGGCCTCCTAAAGTGCTGGGATTACAGGAGTCAGCCACCATGCCCGGCCTCATCATCTTTTTAAATAGCTATGCAGTAAGAGAACATCTAAATATCTACAATAATAAAACAGCAGAGAAAATCCTGACTTGATAAACTTTACTTAGCTGTGACCAGTGGATATGTTTCACTGAGTCTTTTTGTCCCCACTTAATAATCCTTTTACCATTTCTTCCCGCCTAGCAGTCATTTGTAATGGCAACATCAAGCACATTGTTGTTTATTGCTTTGAATAATCATATCTTATTCGTGACCATTTGAATGGTTTCCTGCTTTTTAGCAATAGCATAGGATGAAGTTATGATAATACCTTGAGGGCTGAGTATGGTGGCTCATGCTAGTAATCACAGCACTTTGGGAGGCTGAGGTGGGCAGATCACTTGAGCCCAGGAGTTTGAGACCAGCCCGGACAACATATTAAATTCAAAGTGAATAAAAAATTAACTTTTAATAATACATTAATAATTTAACTCTTTTAAAAGTTAATGATCAGCAGGTGTATTTTTTCTTTTGGTTAATGTCTTTGGATTATATTCCCCCAAGTATGGTTCGCAGATTGACTATTTTCCCCAAAAGCTGCCAGCAATGAATAGATGATCCCATTTCTCTACAACCCTATCACTGGAATTTGTTACATTTTTTCGTCATTGTTATTTTAGTGGTTCTGAGGTAGAATTTCCTCAGAGTCCTTCTTTTCAGGACCAGAAGATACTGGGGTTAGAAAACAGGCTGCGTTCTTTTTCTAGAGACAGAACACGCTTAAACTTATAATCAGGATCCTTTTTCACCATGGGTTCTTAAACTAAGCATTTGAACTCTCTGTATCTTGTTGCATGCCCAGCAGAAAGCATTTCTACAAGATTTTTGTAATCCTAGGGTCAGAAGGCTGATGAGGGCCGGGATGATCTAAGAGGACATAAGGATAGAACTGTCTTCTCTTTCTTGTTTTCCCCACTGGGGCTTTGATCAGGTCTCCATCTTCTGTTCTAGCCAGGAAGTAGAAACAAGCTCACCTCCTTGGGTGCCATATAGAAAAATGGAGATATCCTGGTCAACACGGTGAAACCCCGTCTCTACTAAAAATACAAAAATTAGCTGGGCATGGTGGCGCATGCCTGTAGTCCCAGCTACTCGGGAGGCTGAGGCAGGAGAATTGCTTGAACCCAGGAGGCGGAGGTTGCGGTGAGCCGAGATCGCGCCATTGCACTCCAGCCTGGGTAACAAGAGCGAAACTCCGTCTCAAAAAAAAAAAAAAAAAAGAAAAGAAAAGAAAAATGGAGATGATTAATTAGGCTATTCTGGGCTATGTTTTGGATTCCTGAATTATTAATGAGTTAATAAGGCCCGTGTAGAGCAGGAGTTAGACCTGTTGCAGGCCAAATCATCTTCCCCAAGTCAATGGTGCCATGTGGGGCATCTTTCTACTGTGACTTAGCACACAAATTTTGTTCTTCATTGATGGGAAGGCTGATGAGGCAGCAGGGCCTACACCACATTGTAAGCTGTATAGCATGGTACAAAAATAAGGCATATGAGTATCCCATTCAGAACTTAGAGAAAAAGGCTTAGAGGTTTTTTTGGCTTCATATTGCTCCCTTCTTTGGAGAGTTAAAAGATAACCTTCACTCAAATTACTTAAAGAGGTAACTACCCTATTACCCCTCTACCTTTTTTTTTTTTTTTTTTTTGGAAACAAAGTCTCACTCTGTCTCCAAGCTGGAGAGCAGTGGTGCAATCTCAGCTCACTGCAACCTCTGCCTCCCGGGTTCAAGCAATTCTCCTGCCTCAGCCTCCTGAGTAGCTGGGACTAAAGGTGTGTGCCACCCCGCCCAGCTCATTTTTGTATTTTTAGTAGAGACACAGTTTCACCACATTAGCCAGGATGGTTTTCATCTCTTGACCTCATGATCTGCCCACTTCGGCCTCCCAAAGTCCTGGGAGGCGTGAGCCACCGCACCTGGCCACTGCCCTATTACTTTTAACTCAGTGAAACTCAACCAAGGAGGTTTTTCCTCCCCAGGAGAACATGTCAATGCCTACAGACATTTCTGGTTTTCACAGCTAGGGGATACCCCTGGCGTCTGGTGAGTAGAATCCAAGGATGGTGCTACAATACCCAGGACGGCCCCCCACAACAAAAAAATTATCTGGTTCAAAATCTCTGTTGTTGCTGAGGCTGAGAAACCCTACTTTAGCTGAGGACCAGGCGATTCTGGACAGACCCATGTGGTCAGGCCTACTCTGCTAACCGAAGCTTTCGTTTTTGGATTGTTAAATGCAGTCCCTTAAAGCTCCAGCCTCCTAACTTTCCCAGACATCTTTACTTGATTTTTCCTCCCACCCTTTTGGATCTGTTACTTATTTTTGTGGTGCTAGAAGTGTTCCTTATTTCTGCTGCTGTATGCTGTTTGCTCCCAAACCAAGCTGAGCTCCCTTCTTTTCCCCACCCAGCCACTCTGCAGTCCTTGGGAGAGGTTCGTGCTTGGGCCTCCCTGCTCTTGGAACATTGATGTGCTTCGACATGTAATTCTGCTTGCCCTGCAGTAATCTCACCTGCATTGCGGCTGTAGCTCACAATCAGCAGAAAATGAAAAGTATCAGCTGTGAATCCCATTTGCATGATGGGATTGGATAAGCATGTGCACTGCATTGTCTAACAAACTCTGTTTCTCTCTCTTTCTCCCTCCCCTGTCTTTCCAATCTTCCCTCCCCTATCTTCTTCCCAATCCTGGCAATTTTATCACCTTTCACCATGAAATTTTTTCCCCACCCTTCCCTCCCTTTCTTTCCCCTGACCCTCCCCATCCCACACTTCCCATGGTGACCACATGTACCTTTTCACCCTGTTACATGAGGCAGTTCTGACACTGTCTGCTCCCCCTGTAGTGCCAGGCTTCTGTTGCACAGTTGGAGTGGACTGGAAGTCTCTCACTACTCCGGCGTGCCTCCCCCTCACCACCGACTACTTCCCTGACCGCCAGGGCCTGCAGAATGACTACACAGAGGGCTGTTATGATCTCCTCCCAGAAGCAGACATCGACAGGTCAGTGTCAGAGAAAAAGGCACTTGGCTTGGTTTGTGACGGTTGTGTACATATCCCACACATGCATCAGAACACTGAATTTGTGCTTGCTTCAGCAACACGTATACTAACATTGGAATGATACAGAGAAGATTAGCACGGCCATTAAATTAAAAATAAAAATAAAAACATTGAATTTTCTTTTATCTTTCTTTTTTTTCTTTTTATTAAACTGAGACAGGGTCTCACTCTGTCGCTCAGGCTGGAGTACAGTGGCACAATCATGATTCACTGCAGTCTTGATCTCCTGAATTCAAACCATCCTTCCACCTCAGCCTCCTAAGTAGCTAGGAGTAGCTGGGAGTGGCAGCATCACATCCAGCTAATTTTTGTATATTTTGCAAAGACACTGTTTTGCCATATTGCCCAGAGTGGTCTCGAACTCCTGGACTCAAGCCATCGGCCTATCTCTTGTGTCCCGAAGTGCTAAGATTACAGGCTTGAGCCACTGTGCCTGGCTGAACACTGAATTTTCAAGCCTGTGTCCTCCTTTTATATTTGGGTAATTTTTTTTTTTTGTGACAGAGTCTCACTCTGCCACCCAGGCTGGAGTGCAGTGGTACGATCTCCCCTCACTACAACCTCTGCCTCTCCGGTTCAAGTGATTCTCATGCCTCAGCCTCCCTAGTAGCTGGGACTATAGGCATGTGTCACCATGCCCAGCTAATTTTTTTGTATTTTTAGTAGGGACAGGGTTTTACCATGTTGGCCAGGCTGGTCTCGAACTCATGATCTCAGGTGATCAGCCTGCCTTGCCCTCCCAAAGTGCTGGGATTATAGGCATGAGCCACCGTGCCTGGCTGTGGGTAATTTTATGATATAAGAACTGTTCATTTTTCCAGAGTTCCATTGACATCAACTATTTCTCCTCATTGATTGATTCATTTTGAACTCCTGTTGGTTCTGGCCTCGCTGATTATTCTCATATTTTCTAATGCAATTATTTTGGGCACACTAAATCTGATTTTCTTTTCTACGATTACTCATTTGGGCATTGAATTACCTGCCTTTTTTCACCTCTTTGAACTGTTCATTTTCCCCAAGACACTGATTTACAAATTGTTAGTGTTTTTTTTTTTTTTTTTT